GCTGCGGCTGGAGGCGCCCCGAGCCCGGCGGCGGAGCGGCTCGACGCGGCCCCTAGTGACCCAGCCGCCCGCTGGCACGTCGGGGCTTCCCAGCAGTGCGCCCTTGCCTTGGGGACGGACGTCCCACGGCCTGCTCTCCCCGACAGGCCTCCCTGCCCAGGCCAGGCCGTCTCCGCCGTGACCTTCGGCTCTGCGCCCCTAAAACCCCCTTCCTATCCTCGGCTTTTCCTCGGGAGGCCCAGCGCCCCCCAGCTCTGTCCGCGGTCTCTGTCCTTCGTCCCCTCCTGCGGCTCTGGCGCACACGCGCCTGCCTCCTCCCCAGGCTGCCGGAACTGGATTTCAGGCTTGACAGACACATCCTTCCTGAACACCTGTAACTCCAGCGCTCTGGGAGGCTGAGGCAGGAGGGTGGCAAGTTTGAGCCCTGGCCTAGCAACTGAGGATTTAGCAGGACACTGCTTCAAAATAAAAATTACAGAAGCGCTGGGCAGGTAGCTCAGTGTGAAGGCCCTGGGTTTCATCTCCAGCACTTGGGCCCAGGGATAGAGCTCAGCGGTACAGTGCTTGCCTGGTAAGGGCAAAGTCCCGAGTTCAATTCTTGGCAACAAACATCTCCAGTACTGAAAGAAAAAAAAACCCTTAAATGTACGTTATGACTGAGGGCCGCCACACTGACAAGGTGAGCTCTTGTGTGATCCCAGTGACGGGGCATTTGGACCAGGTGCAGCCAGGGAGACAGTGGGGAGGCCCACGCGGCCAGGGATTGGTGGTGCGGCACCGTCAGGGTAGACCCGTCTCCGCACATCTGTCAAACCCGGGGGATGACCACACCGAGTGACCCCTGCTGTGGGCTGTGGGCATGTGTGCCTGTGACACCAACACAGGCTCGCTGATCGGGGCAGACGGACCACGCCCACGGGGCGACATTGGTGGTGCGGGAGGTCACGCACGTGTGAGGGTGGGGGTTATGTGGAAAAATCTCTGCTCATTATGCTGTTTGGCTTTGTTTTTTTTTTTTTTTTTTTTTTTTTTTTTGGTTTTTCTCCGGTACCGGGAACTGAACTCACGACCTTGCGCTTGCCAGGGGAACCGAACTCACAACCTTGCGCTTGCCAGGCAGGCGCTTTTGCCGCTGAGCTAAATCCCCAGCCCCGCTGTTTGGCTTTGTGAACCTCAAACTGCTCTAACTTTTATAAGAGGCAGGATCTCACCATGTTGCTCAGGGTGGCCTCAAACTCTGACATTCAAGCCATCCTCCTGCCTCAGCCTCCACAGCACTGCGACTACAGGCAGGTGCCACTGTGTTGGGCTCAATAAATGTTACTTTATTTATTTATTTATTTATTTATTTATTTATTTATTTATTTTTGAGACAGGGTCTTGCCATGCAGTTCAAGCTGGACTTGAGCTCACTTTGTAGCCCGGGCTGGTCTCGAACTCACAATGATCCTCTTGCCTCCACCTCACGAGCACCAGGGTTACAGGCATGTGCCACCACACCCGGCAATAAATGTTATTTTAAAAAAATTAAAATGAAAACTAAAAAGGGGTGTCACAGACAGAGAGCCGCACAGAGGTGAGACACACCTTCATTCAACTTTAAATTCATGCTCCACTGGCTCCTGCAGGCGTTCCTCAGCGGTTCCGGCTCTGTGTGATGTGTGTGTGGGCACCAGCTGATGAAAGAGCCAGTGCTTAAATAAAAAATGTTACACGGAAAGACACATGGCCATGAACAGCCCCAACACACTGACCCCATCGTCCCTGTCACTTCTGCAGCTCTTCTGAAGTCCTCTTTCCTGGTCTTGTGTGGTGATATATGTCTGTAATGCCAGCACTCGGGAGGCTGAGGCAGGAGGACTGATGTGAGCTCGAGGCCAGCCTGGGCCACATAGCAAGAACCTGTCTCAAAAAAAAAAAAAAAGAAGAAGGCAGGCTCATAAAAACATGACCTTCTATTTTCATCCACCTTATTATCGGATCTGGCACTGTTTGACTTCTAGCTCTTCTTCAAAGTGAAGCTGACCATGAAAGGGAAACCTGTGGAATCAATTCAGGACATCAATGCAGCCAGGACAGCGCAGCTAGAGACACCCAGGAAAGAGGACTCCAGAGCTGCTGCAGAGTGCCGAGGATGATGGGATCACTGTTTTCAAAGTGAGGGAGATCTGGGAGAGGTTAATGGTAATGTGTGTTTTACTGTAATAAATTTTTAAAAACAAATGTAAACACAATCTTGCTTTCTTTCTTTTTGTCTTTTTGAGATAGAGTCTCGATATGCAGTTCAGGCCAGCCTTGAGGTCACTTTGTAGCCCAGGCTGGTCTTGAACTTGCAACGATCCTCCTGCCTCAGCCTCCCGAGTGCTGGGATTACAGGCGTGCGCCACCACGCCCGGCTCAAGCACACCATTTGTCAGTCACACCTATACACCCTCTCATTACCTGTGTGAGCATACTGACATAGCAGCTTTATAGTGTTAGAGAGAAGCACGGGGGACACCCTGCGACCGCATGGCCATGCCTTTCTGTAACACCGCACACACGGTGACCCAGTGAATGGAAGTTGGCAGGTCCCCTCTCCCGTGTGAAGGGCGACAGCCTCGGTCCCCTTCTACCCACTCCTCTCAGTGTCTCCTACACTAGCTCCCGTCATGAGTGCCTCCTCCTGTCACCCCCTCGTGACTCGGAGACCACACTTCCCTCTATCCAGACTCAACTGGCCTAGCCTTGGCTTCTCTCCAGCACCCAGCCCCACCCACAGAACCCTGGCTCCACCCACAGAGCCCTGGCTCCACCCATAGAGCCCTGGCTCCACCCACAGAGACCTTGGCTCCTCCCCCAGCACCTGACCACCACCCCAGACCCCTCTCCAGCTCCTCCCTCAGAGTGCTGGGCTTCTCTCTGTCACTGCCAGTGTCCCTGGGAACCTAGATTTGCCGCAGGAGGTACAGGTGTGAAACCAATCAAGTTCAGCTAAAAAGCCCCAGGGTGTTGACTTTGTCTGGAAGGGGAGCGCGGCCTTTCATGCTACGATGTATTTAATATGTTTTATCCAGGCTGTTCAGTGAGAGGCCTGAAACAAGCGAGCACTCGCCCAGCTGCAAACTGCGACTGCTCCTCGGTGAGGGCTGAGGGGAGGAGCCAGGGCCAGTCGGGTGCCAGTGAACATGCAAGCAGGAGGCGGGGCTCGAGGTGGCGGGCATGCCTTTGGAATGTGCTTAGTGTGTACTTAGCATGAGCTTAGCATGTCCAGGGCCTGGTATTCCATCCCCAGCTCCACCAAAGCAGAGAGAGAGGCAGAGAGTGAGAGAGACAGAGAGAGAGAGAGAGAGACTCAGGTGCCAAATGTAATGATCCCACTCACCCAGGGCGCGCAGCTGAGTGTCGGTAATAATAACCATGACTGATCATAACTACCATTATTATATTAACTCAGAACATAACTGAAGGATTAACACTTAAATCTGAATTCACATGGTGTGAAAACACCCACAATAGCAGTGCATTGTCATTAATTTGTTTGGTTTTGGGTTTTGTTTTTTTTTTTTTTTTTTGGTTTTTCTCTGGTACCGGGAACTGAACTCACGACCTTGCGCTTGCCAGGCAGGCGCTTTTGCCGCTGAGCTAAATCCCCAGCCCCCTGGTTTTGGGTTTTGTTTTTTTGTTTTTTGTTTTTTTTTTCCAGGACCGGGAATCGAACTCATGACCTTGTGCTTGCCAGGCAGGCGATGTGCCGCTGGGCTAAATCCTCAGCCCCTGGGGGTTTTGTTTTGTTTTCCTGTTTTTGAGACAGGGTTTCGCTATGCGGTTCATGCTGGCCTTGAACTCACTTTTAGCCCAGGCTGGCCTCAAACTCACAGCAATCCTCCTGCCTCAGCTTCCCGAGTGCTGGGGTTACAGGTGTGTGCCACCACACCGAGTGCCCCTCAGCATGTCCTGAAATTGGCAGTTAGATCTACGGGCTCAGTGCAGCCCAGGCTTGATTTATTTACTTTTTCTGTAAGACCGTCCAGCTGTGACTGTTCTCTAGGCAGGAGCCCTACCACACCCAGAACATTCACAGAAACTGATGTCTACGTCCATCCATTCGTTGGGGCTGCAAACCGGCGGGATTTGTGTCCATTGCGCTCTCCACTCCACGGCGGGGACGTGGCCCTAAGAGCCCCGTGCGCCTGCCATCTGTGCAGCCAGCCGTACGCTGCCCTAGGGACGGGCAGGCAGGGCTTCACCCTGTCCCTGTGATGCTCCATTTTTCTAAGTGACAAGTTGGTTCCAAAACGATGACAATAGCTGGGCTACAATTGGAGACTCTATGTCCAAACAAAAACAGCAACAGAGAGAGGGAGGGGAGGGAGGGAGGGAAGGAGGGAAGGAGAGAGAGGGAGAGAGGAAAGAAAGAAAGAAAGAAAGAAAGAAAGAAAGAAAGAAAGAAAGAAAGAAAGAAAGAAAGAAAGAAAGTGTCCCTCAACATGACCTATGGCCCCTTCCTGGGCTTTCTTGGACCCTGGCCAGTGCTCCCTTCTCGGGCCATGGCATCTGCTCTAGCTGATGTCCCTGCCTGGAAGGTGCAGGCCACTCACTCTGCCCTCACAAGAGCAGCCACTGCCCGAGGAGACCTGGCCAACCCACACTGCAGGCCCAAGCAGCCCTTGAAGGGTCCATGCTTGGGGATGGCTTCTCGGAAAGAGGCCTCAGCCGATGTTGTGTTCCTTGGTCCTCTGGGCTCTATGGAGGGCTCAAGTCAGGCTGCGGGGCACAGCAGGGAAGGCCACGGCCTACTGGGCAGGCGGTGACAGCTAGGACCTGCCAGCATGTCACAGCATGGGGCGGGACAGGTAGCATTGTGACAGCTCCTTCGGTTGTGAGTTTGACACTGCACAGAATGACACGGGGTGGGGGCTGGGCTGGGCTGGGCTGTTGGGGCAGGAATGCTCAAGGCCCTGGATTCCAACCCAGAAGAGAGACAAGAAGAGGGCAAGAACAACAAAGAAGAAGAAAGAAGAGAGACTGAGAAGAGAACGAAGGAAGGAGAATTGTGCATAGTTGTGCATACCTGTGATCCCAGCACTCGGGAGGCTGAGGCAGGAGGATTGCCGAGAGTT